GAAACAACTTATGATGAGTTTTTTAGTGATTAGTAAGAGATGTTGCTGAGCCAACCTGAATTATTATTTAAACAATAAACACAAAAATAACATATTGAAACAACAGCCACAGATAACAACAGAAACACAAAGAGGGCAGACCTTTCCTTACAGTTAATTTTAAACCGTATTTTAAAGATTACTTTAGCCTGCTTTCCTCTGATGAGACTAAAAAGCATAGAAGTTGTGCTGCAGTCACTTCAAGRTATGCCACTACAGCATCTTTACCCTTGGGTCTTTATTTACTTTGCCACTTCTCAGGGTAAATATACTGAAATTTACAAACCTCTTAGAGCTCTGTTTTTTCCACACACTACACAAAAATCCATTTTCCMATTTGCRCAYTGATAAAACAACGAAGATGTGGATGAAAACTCTTTTGTGGCAGACTTTTGTTAACACATCCTTCCCCAGTAAAACATGTCCGCATTCAGTAAAGTGCAATATATAATTACCCATTAAGTGTGAAAGAACATGGGAAACTGAGCATGTTTTTCAGCCTGAAGCAATCTATTMATTATTGAGCTCTACTAGCCTGGATCAGCCACTGCCTCTCATAACTGTTTGTCTTTCCTGCCTCCTTAGATCAGRAGATGTTTTGGACAAAGGTACCTTGTCGCTCCTGAGTTGCTGTGCTGAGTGGATATAGCACACAATTTCTCACACAGGACTAGCACAGTCTTGCAGCAGCACGGGATTTATCCAGATATACAGAAATCCCCCGAGACGTTCCCATTTATTCCGCGATGCCGGGGACAGGTCGGGCCACCCCTCCGAGCAGCGAGGCGGCCAGGCCCGGGCGCTGTGTGCCGGCTCCCCCGGCCCAGGGAGGCGCAGCCGGGCAGCCCCCCACACCGAGCGGCTGCGAGCCGATGGGCAGCTGGCACCGAAACGCTGGGCCAGCTGCAGCACCGAGGGACGGCGAAAACCCAGGGAGCCCTAAAAGGGTGCCGCAGGCCACCTCACCTCGCATCCCTTTACGTCTCAGGTGCCACATCTGCCAGGAGAGACAAGCGGTCTACAGGCGAGGATCCGGTAAATCTCCGATTCGGGGACAGCCGCTGTCTCTGGGTGACTCACAAACCCAGGCGCCGGTGGGGTTTGCTCTCCTCACGCAGCTCTCCCAGCTCTGGGGCTGGCAGCGGGCGCACCGGGCTCCACCGCCGCCGCTGCGCTCACAAACACCCACTGCGCTTGCGGCTCCTCACCTGAGCCGCCGGTATTCCAGCGCTCCCTGCCGCCTCCCCGCTTCGCCAGCCGGCCCCACGCCGGSAGCCGCGACCAACAGGGACGCGGGGCCCGCGCCCTCCATCACCGCCAGAGAGCGCGGCGAGCGGCGCTCTCCCAGCTCTGGGGCGGGGTGACTCCGAGCGGCTCCCGAGGGCCGCCCCGCCCTCCCCGGGCCACCCTGGGGCGCTGCCCGGCCCTCGCCTCCCGCCCGCGGCTGGCCGTGCCCTGGGAAGCGGCCGCGCCCCCCGCGCCCCCTCACCTGGCCTGGGGGCGGGTCCCGGTGGCCGCCGTGAGGGGGCGGGGGGAGATGGCGCAGGGCGGGCGCGGGGCCGGGGCCGCAAGCACAGCCCGCGGGGACCGAGATGCTGTGGGGACGCGCCTGAGCATCGCCCGCCCGTGTCCCGTGTGTTTCAGCGTTACCAGTACAACTACAGATTTGTTTACAAAACAATGGAGTAGCAGTAAAGCAATACCTTAGTTGCTTGTTGCTTGGCAGGCCACAAGACATTTAATTTTTTTCTTTGTGCTCGTCTTCTTTTAAGCACAAACTCCACTCAGACGCATGCTGATTATTTTCAGTCTAAGACTGAATATATTGTTTATGTACCTGCTTTTTTCAAGATCTTTCCCTCCTCAAAACCAATCAAACCAACATGAAACTTGTCCTTTATTAGATGATTTCGGATTCTCTCATCTCTCCTATTTTACACCCTGCCCTGACAATTGCTTTTTCACAGCTGAGGTGAAAAACCCAACTGAAACACTGCAGCCTAAGAGCTCACTACGCGGCTGTAGCGATCATCATTTTTAGGGCAAATAATCTMAACAGACCATCAGTGGTTAAGAACAGTGAAGAGAAGGGACGARGGGCACGCACCTTCCTACTGTTCCATGTGCAAGTGTTTCTGCTGGGGTGCACACCCAACCCAAAGTTTGGAGTTCCACATCGCACAGATCACTGATTACARCTGGTTTTCTGATACTCTACAGAGGATCTGATACACAGTGCACATTTGCACATCTATGGTAATTAGAGTTTGTGCTTTTAATCTGTTCAGTGTGTCCTACCTTCATGGCATTACTTTAAATTTACAACAGGAGAAAGYTCTTTATAGAAATAACACTCAAACATGATTTTTACCTAAAATTTTGGCTCTTGTGTCAGCACAAAATAATAAACTATACTTTGAAAATTACGAGATAAACAATTTTTCTTTGTAAGACAACGATAATTTGTCACTTCAAATGTAAAACGGAATTGAAATGATACGTACTGATTTGCAGCCTTGGCAGATAGAGCCTTAGCTTAACATCTGTTTTTCTAGTTGTCTCAGAATATCTGATATGAAACAGGCATTGAAGCACCAAGAGCTCTTAGATGTTATACTACTAGGATCCTGAATAGGATTAATATCCTGAAGAGTGTAAGGCAAATCATATTTAATATCTTTTGGAAAGCATATGGATTCTATTTTTTTTACTTTTCAGAAATTTATTTCTGACACTTTATATATTCATATTTTATATTCATAGCACCTATATCCAATAGTTTTTAGTGGGGAAAAAACAAAGACAAAACCATTAAATACAATAAAAAATGAATTCTTTATTCTTTTGGCTCAACTGTAATGTGGTTTACTGTTCTTTATGGTAATAGCATTTTCCTGCATGCAGTTCACCGACACACAAGTCAATATTTTTGTAAAAGGAGGAGTCAACATCGAATTTTTGTTTGTGTAAGAAACACAAAATGTCCTGATGTGATCAATTATACAAGTTTGCTATTTAATTCCTGTGGAAAAAAAAAAAAAACCATTGTGGATCCCATATTATATTTAGAACAGTTCTAGTGCAGCATGAATTAACAAGAATAAGAATAGTCTATGTAAACAAACACTGGTAAAGATTTCATGGATAAAAAGACTACCTCAAAACTTCTGATGCAGGCAGTGCTAGAATTTTAAACAAATCCTCCCCACCACATTTCAATTACAAGTTATATCTATTTGGAAGCAAGTGCATTTGGACTCAGTTTGAAACTTATTTCACATTAAATGTGTGCAAAAATACAGTACTAATAAAAAAGCAGAAACCTAAAGCCACCCCATTCTTTCCTTTGTTTCTTATTTTGTGAAGTTCTTGAATTAAAAAGTGCAATGGATAGAAAGTAACAAAAGTGACAGTAACATCAACCTGAAGATAATTCTCATTTCTTATTTTATGTACAAACCGCTGAAAAATAAAATAAAATGGTTTTTTTTTACAGTATTTATATTTTCTTAGAAAATTCTATCCATGTAGTTTTCAACAGATTAAGCAGTTTGCAACATATCCTGTACAGTCTGACTATGCACCGTACAGTAGTCACTTAAAATTTTAGAATGCAAAGCAAGAAGCTCTTAAATAGCTGCAAACTATTGCTTGATGTAGTGAAAGAATGATGACTGATTGAACAATTTATTTCACTTAACCACTGAAATATGGCTTCCCATATTAGACTCTTAACAGTGGAAGGATTAAAATTACAGCAGCAAAGGCAAGATAAACATGCATCAGTGATAGCTTCCAAACTATCTATAATGGTACAGAATACTTCATATTAGCTGTTGAGAGCTTGGAAATTACACTTACTGTGGTACATATTTGATGCAATAAATATTGTGCACATGTCATTGTTTGTTTGCTCAAACATGCACCACGGGATAAAATAACTATTTACATAGAGGGTACTTTTTTAATCAACGCATACAATGTCAACCTTGCTGAGAGCAGAAGATGGCTAAATGATACTGCAGGGTGAAGCAGAACAACTTCATAATCCTTATATTTTTCAGGTTTTTGGTAAACTCGATTCCCAAGGTCAGGTAAACTGTTTTCCGCAGAAGAATACTTAGAAGTGGACTCTATGTCCCCTGGTAAAACTTTTACGCAGAGTTTGTTCAACTATTGTTAAATGAATTATGAAAAAATAAAACATCTGTTCTATTATTGTAGACTCTATGGGACTTTACAGGCACATTAAGATTTGTCTGGATGAGATACTAGATGGATACTGTTATTAAGCACCTCAACATACAGAGCCACCCTGAAACATGGAAGTAGTCAGACTGCTGCTTTGTGCGACGTCATGTTTTCCCATGCATGAACTACAAGTGCAGCATGCCTTCATGCAAATCACTTCTGTCTGTACATTATAGAGAATCCGAGAGTAGAACACCTGGTCCTCATACCCCCTTCCCCAACATAAAACCCATTTACAAAAATAGTCACATATAATAGTAAACAACCTGTGAATTAAAAAATGATAAGTTCACCAACACTGATTTTTGTAAAAATATGGCAAATGTGACTGTTGAAATGCTAACAGTGGATACAATTTTTGTATTGTGTGTTTCATGTTAAACACGGAGATCCATAGGTTTGCACCTTTGTTTTTGTTAACTGGTCCCTACAGTCTGGTTGGCCATTTTATCATCTCTTCAGCAGTGTCAGCTGGTACTAAAAACAACAACCTCCTGTCAAGATGTTACCCTGTTTTACAGAGTTGCAGTTTGATGACGAGGGGTCACTGTCTTGCTATAGGCACTGACCTTAAATATATATATATATATATAATTATATATATATCTATATATGTAAAAACTGACAGTTTGGCATGTACCTCCTACAGGAGTCCTGTTGACACAAATACATACTTTTTCAGGCTGTAATATATATATATATATATAATTATATATATATCTATATATGTAAAAACTGACAGTTTGGCATGTACCTCCTACAGGAGTCCTGTTGACACAAATACATACTTTTTCAGGCTGTAAACAGTTATCTCAAACAGTGCTCTATGTTACTTTTTGCTTTCCCTGCTGTCTTTGCCTTTATCTTCTTTTTCTGATTTGTCTTTTTCATATTTATCCTTGTCTGGCTTTGTTACACTGTCATAAGAAGGTGGGGAGGTTGTGGATGGGGTCATATCTGTTTTTTCTGGAGTAGAGTTCTCATTTAGTTTATCCATAATCATATCTTCTTTCATGGGTAGATCATCTTCCTCTTTACCTTTATCCTGACTAAATATACACGATACTTTTTTGACTTTTTGCCTTAAAAGGTGGCGTCTGTAAGCGCGCTGAATGATGACAGCAGACACCTCCTCCTGTTTTCGTTTCAGTGTGGTTGTGATTGGCTCATAGGAGACTTTAGAAGGATTGGCTGCCATAAACCGATCTTCCAT